GGGGGGGGGGGGGGGGGGGGTATTTTTGTGTTCAAAAACTGGAAATTCTGGGGAGGAGGGGGCAGGGTTTGCGTGAAATTCCCTCCGTGGTGGGGGTATGGATATTTTCTAGAACTAGACATTTCAGAAAAAGATGTAAGTAGTTATATGACTTTGAACACCACAACCTATCAAGATCTTTGATATGATGAATGGAGAGGATCAACACAACACCATTGGTCTGAATCAAACTATATTTACAAAAATATTCTTGGGTTGCACTGTCACGCAATAAAAAATTATTCAAAAACGATTCAGTGTATAATCCATCAATCAGCAGCTTCCCCCTGGAAGCCAACCTGGGAACCCAGGGGCATTTGTAGAGATTGTCAGATATTTGTTGCCCGAAGGGAAAGTATCACGTTTGTTCACAGAGATTGCACCCCTGGGGGCAGACTCTGGGGATTTGCTGACAACGGTATACCCTATTGACGATTCCTGGATGTTGTTCAAGGTATTCACTTCACGCCCAAATTTCGTGTGCATCCCAGGGACTCACAGCACCCAAACTGATCATCATCTTTTCTCCATTTTTAGAAACAAAAAGAAAAGAAAGAAAGAAACTTTATTTACCGAGGGTAAAATACACTATTACTGGTAACCCGGTAGTTTACATAGTGGCCCTCAAAACCTTCAAAGAAAGTAAAAAATCATATACAATATAACTATTTGGTCAAGTGGAGCCAACTGCACTGAAATACAACAAACTTTAAATGAGGGTCTAGGCATTAAGCAAATAGCTGGTTTTTGTTGATTAACAGGAACACTGGTCCTTATTGTTGCACCCAGGGGGCAGGGAATTTGTCAGAATTCCTCTACCCTATACCCAGGGGGATTTGATGAGGTTTGAATGGGCATTTGGACAAATTCCCCAGGGTCCCCAGGGATGGGCTACAGGGGGAGGCCGCTGATTGATGCAAAAAGTCAAGAAATTGTGATGTTATAGGAGATAAATAAAGAAGACACTTCTCCGAGATTTAGGTCTGCACGTTTTCCCAAACTTGAAATATTCGTCGAAATATTCTGCACAAATTTACAGAGTCCAGTATGGAACCGCCATGTTGGTCCTCCGTCGCACACCAACATGTCCAACATGGCGGCAGGAAAATAGTGTTAACATTTGGAACTTACTTTGGCTATCTAGGCGCCTGATTATCTGAACTGACCAAGCCAACGTTTAAATAAGCATTTTTCCTAATGCTTTGACTTCTAAAAAGGCTAAAAATTACGAGATAAGTGTATATTTTTCGACAAACGCGTTGATAGCTCTTTGTCAAGCATGGCCATAACTCTGAAATTTAAAAGGTGCTTGTTTTCAGACGAAGCAAGCTATTGAGCTGAAAAGTTGTTAACAGATATAAATTAACCCCCTGTAATGCCTGATGAGGATAAAAACTTTGGTGGCTCTTTAATTTTGGATTTTAAAGAATGATGACGTCACGTGCAAACCAAGAATATATTCTAGACACAAATACCGTAATCCCAAGAAAACAACATTATAAAAACGATCACAAAGAGCTTAGATAAAAATCTTACGGGTGAAGATGTCCTTGTAGATAATCATGATGTCGATGGATGAAGATTATTGTAGGGAAAGTCCGCCGCGGTCGAAGGTCACATGTCACATAGCCTGCGAGCAAGCTCACTTTTGAATCACACACGCGAGCGGCGAAGAGCAAAGCGATCCGGCGGGAAGGAGTCTGGTGAAGAGGCGCCAAGAAAGTGCGCCTGCCCTTGCCTGCCCTCAGGTCTCTGTAATTGAGTTATTTTTTTGTAAAAAAAAATACCTCTTAGTCGGCGCGTCGGGTATGTTATGGACGGGTCAAT